TCCCCTTAGAGTCTGGCATAGCAATCTGCACGAAGTAGTTAATAAACTAATTAATAAATGTTAATAAATTAAACTTATTAATTATTAATTATTTATTAAAGTTAATAAATGCTTGTTAGAGTGGTGGTGGTGGAGGGGAAGCCCAGATTGCAGTGTAACCTAGTCAGTTACAAAAGCTACAACAGATGCTGGAGACTCGTTTTTTATGTTGAAAAAATAAAATTCATATTTGGGAACGAAGTTTTGACTTGCGAGATTATTAGAAATCAGTATAGGCTTCTGAGAAGTGGAATAACATAGAGTTTGTCTTTCTGGGACTGAGAAAAAGAAATTGAATCCATTTTAGACATGGCAGCCCTTGAAGCAATTGAAGACAATAGTCATATGCTACATGGGCCCCCATCATCCTCACATCATTAAACCAATTCTCCTATGGCAAAGTTTTCAGTGTCCTTGCCATCCTGGTCACCCTCATCCAGCTTGTCAAGGAAAGTTACTTTACTAACTAGCTCACTGTAACCTTGGGCATCTTTTCTGAGCCTCAGTTTTCTCCTCTATAAAATGGGTCTAATAAATTTTGCACTACTTACTTCACTGGGTTGCTGCAAAGAGAGTGTCATGGACTTCCTAAAATGTGGTGCGGTGATCAGAACTGATCACAATACCATTTCTATGTGGGATACCAATGATACTATGAGGAATGATGAATCCAGGAAATCTGAGAAAAGTTAACTAACCTTTAACATGTGGAAGGTAGTGACGAGTGTCTCTCAACATAGGACTGGATGGCAAAACATCTTATAATTCTGTCTCAACCCTTGTTATGTTATATTTACAGTTATGTTGTGGCTGATACTCCTTGGTGCTAGCGCTGTTGATAATTTCCAGTTTTTCCTGTATATAGCTTGTTTGCACATAGTTACTTGCATGTTGTCTTCTCTCATTAGATTATGAGCTCCTCGAGGGTAGGGACTGTCTTTTGCCTTTCTTCATATTCTCAGTACTTAGTACAGTGCTGGGCACAGAGCTGCTGAGTCATTTTTCAGTCATGTCAGACTTTCCATGACCCCAGTTGGGGTTTTCTTGGCAGAGATACTGGAGTGGTTTGCCATTTCCTTCTCCAGCTCATTTTTTTACAGATGAGGAAACTGAGGCAAACAGTTAAGTGACTTGCCCAAGGTCACACAACTAGTAAGTGTCTGAGGCTGGATTTGAATTCAGGAAGATGAGTCTTCCTGACTCTAGACCTGGAGCTCTATCCACTGCACCACCTAGCTGCCTTTGGCACAGAGTAAGTGCTTAATAAATGTTTATTGACTGACTAATGAGAGGCAGCTTGAATATACTGAATACAGTGTTGCATTTAGATTCAAGAAAGCAAAGATATGAATTCTTCCTCTAATACTGACCACAGGCAATTACTCCATTACTCTCTGAGACTTAAGTACCTCCCTAAGACTTTGAGTTATAAATGAGTCAAGATCCATTTGAATGAAAAGAAAATTCCATACCAATTAAAGCAAATATGATAAGCTTGGTTTTCTGAATTTCAGAAAGCATTTTTCTTTCCAAACCAAGTTTATAACTAATCTTGTTTATATGATGGTTGCTATGGGCCCATTTGTTGCCAATTATATATAACAATGCTCTAGCTTCAAAGGGCAAAAAGCTAAGTTTAAAGGACAGGGAATTTACTGCCTTCTGGTTGGAAAAAAGAGACAACTATAGGATTTCATGCTGGCAAATAAGTGCTTTGAGGTTTTATTTCCCCTCTTTTTTGGTAGCTGTTTGGACAGAGCACCAGAAAAAGAAAAGAAAAAGTAAGGGCAGGGGACCAGAAATCTGACCCTGTCAGTTTCTTCTTTATAACAGGAAATAAAGAACATTTGGACATTTAAGTAATGAGAATACTGACTACTAAGGAGCCAGTGACAGTCAAAAGATTCTTTCATGGCAGAAAATAGACAAGGATTTTATCATAGCATCACCCTATTAAGATACCAGAGCAACTGAATACACTCAGAAAGGACTTTTCACTCAGCATAATGCCTGGCACATAAAAGACATTAATAAATGTTTGTTGACTGGTTCATTGATTAAACAAAAGATTTTGACCAGTTTTTTTTAAGTGTTTATTGAAGCCAGATTGAGGTGGTAATTGAAAATAGTTAAGAATTAATCGGAAAAGTACCTAATTATATCTCATTTCTTTTTTTAAAAAATGCCCATTTAAAACATTAATGACAAGCACTATTGATTAATATTTATATTTAGCTGTTTTCAAGAGTTATATTTATACAAAAACAAAAACAAACAATCCCCCATACTCAAAACCATAATTCAGTGGAAAAGCATCTAATTTCCTTCTCTCAGTTAAGCATGACAATAAAAATCCTAGCTGTTCAGACAATTAAGTCATCATAAAAAACCCATAATTCACCTGGTGATATAATAACCTAATTACATACAAAGTACCCAGGAGGAGAGAAACTATGCTGAATGTTGGTTTTGCAAACTCGAACCTACAAAGTGATAGCAAAACTGAGGCTGTCACAGAAAACGAGTCATAATAATAATAATGATAGTGAAAAAGTGAATATATAATCCACTGGGCTCTCTGATAAGTGTTCCGTAGATCTTAACAGGAGATTTTTAATGAAAAGTCCTCCTGATCACCTGTCAAATATTATCTTTTAGCACTAAGGTTTAGAACATGACCATGTCCATGCTTCTGTTTCTGGCCTGAATTAACCACTTATTTACATTATTAATTAAAAAAAAACAGACATCATTTTATTGGTATCACATCAAAAGCAATTCCCCTCTCTGAGACTTGTCAGTCTTTCTATTCATCCTGATGAAATGTGTATGTGTGTGTTTTAATGGAAGCAAGTAGGAGAAAAGTAGTTGTCCCCATTAAAGAGATTCAGAAACTGAACAAATTTTGAAACTAGAATTTTAAATGTTAAAAGAAGCCTTTGGATACAGGCTCTTGCTCCTCCTTTGAACTTTGCTGGAAGTCTCTCCAGTTCCTGACATTTGGAAAGCCTATTCTATTTATCTCCATTTAATATAGATAAAGTTAAAATCCTACATTTGGGTTAGAAAATAAATTACACAAGTACAGGATGGGGGAAGATGTGGCTAGAAGGTGCCTATTAAAAAAGATCTTGAGATCTTAATATACTACAAGCTCAAGTGACTCAACAATGTAATGTGGCATCCAAAAAATGGATGTAATCTTGGGCTGCGTTGAGAGAGCCACAGTGTCCAGAATGAAGCAGGTGATTGTATTTCTGTATTCCATCCTGGTCAGGGCACAACTGGAGTATTATGTTTAATTCTGGGGTCTGGAATAACAGGAAGAACACTGACAACTTGGAGTGGGTCCAAAGGAAGGGTGACCAGGATGAAGAGAGGACTGGAGACCATACCACCATAAGGTTCAATTGAAGGAAATTCAATGTTTGGCCTTCAAAACAGAAGGCCTAAGGAGCATGTGATAGGTCTTCAGGCATTTGAAAGGCCATTATATGGGAAAAGCAAAAGGCTTGTTTTGCTCGTCCCTGAAGGCAGGCATATGCTGAAATCAACTCATACCATCTACTGTTTGTTAAATTTTCAATGTGAGCATTTATACCTTGGAAAATGCTACAAACTGGGACTTGATTTATTGTTGATTATCTAGACCTAAGAAAGTGATAATAATGCATAATAAACTTAGCATCAGTAATTAAACTTAATGATGATAATAAACTTTAAAGTGTGTTCTGCTTTGGGAAGTCAGTTGTTAAACATTTTCCAACACACCTTTGTCTAAAGAGCAGGACCAAGAGCAATGAATAAACCGTATAAGGAAGTAGAAGTTAAAATGCAGAGAGGCTACTTTTAGAGGTAGTGAGTTCCTAGTCACTAAAGGTCTTCAAAGTTTGGATTATAAGAATATTCCTCCATGGGCATGGGTTGGAGTGAATGACCTCTGACCTTCCAACTCTGAGTTCCCATGAGTCTACCCTCTACATTGTCTAGATTTTCCTGGCTCAAGTGTGTGCCCTGTGCTTTCCCTACTGTGTTGAGCTTTTCTTTCATCTTCAGTATTAATCATGTTCACTTAGCTGGTATTTGCGGTTGGCTCTGTTTCTTTAGGTAAGTTCATGTTTCCTCACCTTTTTGTTTTAAGCTAGAATCTAGGCCCTGGCTCTTATGCAGGCATGACATACAGAGACTGTGGTTGCCATATTGTTTCTCCCCAAACATTCAGTCAGTGCACCTGTGTGATCATCCTTTTTGTGACCCGCTACATACATGATGGCCTTCTTTCCAGCATTCTTTTCCTGCCAACCAACCCCGACTACTTCCTCTCCAAGCTCCCAGCTCATTTGTGTAAGGCAAGACATAGGGACTGACATCTCTTGAGCTGTCTAGGTGATTAACACACCTCTTCTCACTCCCACTGACTAAGGTTGACAGCAGTACCCATACATCCTAGATGAGACCTGATTTTTCCCATCAACTCAGATGTCCTCAGGGGAGGAATTATCTGAAACCAACTTATCATATTTTTCCATTACAGCATCTTTATGTATGTATTGATGCTAGCATGGTGATCATTTTTACCAAGGGGAGAAAAAAAAGACATTCTGTAATGGGTAAGAAGCGAAGATTGGTAATAAATGGAAACACTGGCTGACATCTGTTCTATTCTAGCCTCAGAGAAAATGGGGAGAAATCCATCAATAATAAAGTGTTTCCTGGAAAGCCCGGCATAGTGTCCTAATCTTACACGAGCACTGCATTGGGGTAGGGCAAATAATTCCCTAAAAAGAACATCAAAGCCCCATGGCAATTATGAGCTGGTCCATGATTTCAAAACTATTTTGGCCAAATTCTCCACACCTCTATCTGTCCCTTGTCTCCCCCCTGTGTCTTCTTGGCTGGACCCTTATGCCAGGAGATTTGAGAGAGAAGTGAAGAGATGTGGCTGTTTGTAAGATACTTACTGGCTAGAATGACCATATCCATTCCCCAGAATATACTCATGATCCAGCCCACCATCACAATGGCTGTCAGGATCTGAATGAGTGCTGCGGCAATATTCAACCAGAAGACACAGCACATGTGCCTGTCAGGGAGGTCAGTCCGGGCTCCACATAGCACAGTGAAGGCAGAGACAAAGGTACCTGGGAGAAAAAGAAACTATGAGTACTCCATTTATAGTACAGATAGTTCTCAATTTACGTGATTTTGCATTATGTAAATTTGACTTTACCTAAAGAATTCTGAAAGAAATCCACATTCCAATTCTGATTTTAAAATTTGCAAATGTCAAGAGAGGTTAATAGTGAAGATATTGAAGCTTCATTGCAAATAATAATAATAAATAGATAAAAATAAGAGAAGGTCCCTACTTGCAAGAACAAATCTTTAATGTAGGTGAAACTGGCCTATTTTATCAAAGAATGGCATCGCAAACCTACATCTCAGTGGAGGAAAAAACTATGCCAGGGCATAAAGCTTCGAAAAATAGAGTTACTCTTCTGCTTGGAGGAGTGCATCTGGGACTTGCAAATTAAAACCTGTTCTTGTGCACCACTCAGAAAATCCCTGAGCATGGCAAAGAATCAGCAAAGCAACACTTTGCATTATTTCCCCTAACCCTAAGGCATAGATAACCCTTATCATCTTTGAATAATGGTTTATATACTGCTTCATTCCTGAAGTCTCAAGAAGTTTTGTAAAGATAATGACATTCCTTTCAAGATTCTACTTATTTTGGATCATGCCCCAGGTCACCCTCCCCCTTTGGATGATTCTAATGAAAATGTAAAAGTGGTCCACCTTGCCTGGAATACTACCTCATTATTAAAACCTATGAATCAGGGAGCGATTCCAAATTTCAAGGCAAATTATTTACCTACTACAGTTGCCCAGGCAATTGCAGCTTTGGATACAGATAAGGACTTGACATCCAATGATTTTTGAAAGCCTAGAATATTTACCATGCAATCTGGAATATTGCTAAGGTAATATTGGGAAGATGTAGTAGAAACATGTATGAAGAGAGTTTGGAAAAAAGTGTGCCACAGTTAAGTAACAAGATTGTAAAATCTGCACAAGAAGTGGATGAGGATGATATGGAGGACAGAATCTCAGGGAGAACTGCCTGATTGAGCTGCTAGCTGCAAAGATTGCAGAAGAAGAAAAGGAAGCTTCGAGACCCGAGGCTGAAGAAAAAGGTACACAACAAAACAGCCGGCAGAAGCATTTTATCATTTGGGTGAACTTTTTCCTTGTATTGAAAAGATGGATCCAAATAATTCAAGATTTTTAAAAGTTCAAAGACTGGTTGAGGATAACATTGCTTGCTGTAGTCAGATATACAAGGAAAAAAGGGAGCAGCTATCCGAATGTCTCTAGATAGCTTCATAAAAAAAGTTGTACGGCCAATCACCAGTGACAGAGGTGAGGGGCAGTGGAAGGGGCAACGTACTGTATACCTATGTTAACTTTACTGTACAGTGCTGTGCATACTTTATCATTAACTTTACCTTTCATTTTCTGTTTATTATCATGGTACAGTATTTAATATGTCTGCATTTTAGTACCTTTTATGACTTGCATAAAGGTATTATTTTGTATATGCTTTTGTTATGTGGGCTAAGTAAAGTGGGTGGGTAGGGGCAAACTCGAATTACATAAAAATCACTTTATGTAGAGGTCCAAGGGACTACTTATGTAAAGCAAGAACTGGGTGAGACACCTTCCCCATTGTCATTGTCAGCTAAGTCTAGGTTAATTCCTTAAAGTCAGTCTAAAGACCAGTTCACCTAGTAACACATTTATTATTAAAATTTGTATTTCTAATATAAAAAGTCTTATCCAATTTCTAGCATTTCCAACATGGTAAAGGGGGAAATAAAAGCAGTCTGAATCACATTTGAGAAATTGCACAATACTTTTAACGACCCCAACCCTACCTAAAACAAGCAGCCATATTTTTAAAATATCAATATACCTCTACAGCACAGAATAATACAATCTGAAGGACTAAAGTTGCATGTCATTCAAGCAGTGATGGAGAAACTGATGGTGGGTGTGTTTTGGCTGTAACATGTTAGTAACAATAATGAAGAACAGGAAAAATAGCATAAACTCTATTAATCAAGGAATGTATTACTGGGAAATGTGAGCCAGTCACATAACGTAAGTGAGGGATGACCAGTGGGCAGCCCTTGTGCACCAATGCTAAATGATCCAGAGAAAAGTTCTCAGTATATTGGGTGGAACCCCTAAAGTACGGACAAGAGTCACAAGGGATAAGACAGCATGGAAAGAGTTCTCATACCAGTAAAGACACATTTGGTGCGTGGACAGAGCACTGGGCCTGGGTTCAGAAAGATGAGTTCAAATCTAGCCTCAGACATGTACTAACTGTGTGACCCTGGACTAGTCACTTAATCTGTTTACCTCAGTTTTCTCATTTGTAAAATGAGAATAATAATAGTACCTACCTCCTAGGGCTGTTGTGAGGATCAAATGAATAATATTTCTAAAGTGCTTTGCAAACCTTAAAGCTCTATATAAATGCTAGTGTTCCAAGCCTTGGAGCCAAGAAAGTTCAAGTTTAAATCCTGTTTCAGACACTTACTAGCTGTGCGACCATGGGCAAGTTATTTAACTTCCCTAAGCCTTGCTTTCCTCATCTGTAAAATGGAGATAATTATTACATATATCTCATTGGGTTGTTGTGAAGATCAAATGAGATAATCTATGTAAGGCCCGTTACGAACTTGAAAGTACTTTATATGCCATTATTAACAAATTACCATATATAATTAGATCATTTTAGCCCTCACTAAAGATTTTTACTTCCTTATTAACGTTTTCTTTTTTCTTTTATCTGCATCATGACATGTTTAGTTTTAATTTTGCCCATTTTTAAGCACTTTAAGGGATTCTTAAAGCCAATTTTTCTTAGCAGGCTTTCCTTATACATTTCTTATTTCTAATAAGAAATATTCATCACAGAACCAGAAAGCTAGAAAGAAGTTTTGAGATGACCTAGTACAATCCCCTCATTTTATAGAAGAAGAAATTGAAGCTCAGAGGTGAATTGTCAGAACTAGACCTTGAATCCATGTCTTTTGACATGCCAACATCCTTTCCACCACTCCAAAGATGTTTCAGCCTATTTGCAGGTAAAAACAAGAAACTGTATTTTTTATCTGTTGATTGAGAGGAAAGAAAGAGAAGTAGGTTTGGAGTCAGGAGACCTGGGTTGGATTCCCTGTTCTGCCTTTTATTAACTATGTCACCGCGAGTAAGATCTTCACCCCTCTGGGCCTGAAGGCAACATTCCCTGGGCCAGTTACGGGGAACAGGTGGGAATAATGAATCAGCTGGAGAGGCCTAAAACCCAAGTCTGTCCTCCTCATGCTTCTTCCTAGTAAACATTCTTGCTAGAGGCTGGTGTGGTTACAGCGAAGGCCAGGCATGGCCTGTTCTGACTCTCTGGATTTTGTCCAACCTGTCCCAGAACAAGGACCACGACCCCTTTTCATCTTCCTTTTATGTCTTGTCTAGCTCCCATTATAATGTAAGCTCTTTGAGGACAGAGACTTTCTTTTTGCTTGTATTTGTATTCACAATGCTCAGCACACTGTCTGTCACATAGTACGTACTTAAGAAATGTTTCTTGACCTGTCTTGCCTTGACCAAATAACCTAGAGACTTAAGGATGGCACAGGACCACGACCCTTCTGCTGCTGCCTCATGTTGATGAAGCTCTCCTAGCCTGGTGGAAGCTGAGGAGACACACACACACACACACACACACACACACACACACACACACACATGCCCCATTCTTCTTTTCCTCTAAGTTTGGTGTCTATTTTATAAAGGCAAAAATGCATACTCTTCAAGCAAAAGTAATTTTTGTAAGACTTTTTGGGAAGCCTTCACCCCTTGTCGTCAAGAAAATATGGATTTAAGCTCTATCCTAGACATATACGGGCTATGTGACCCTATTTCTTAGCTTCTCAGTGTTTTGTTATTATTGAATAATTTTTCAGTCACATCCTAACCTCCATGACCCCATTTGGGGTTTTCTTGGCAAAGATATTGGGGTTGTTTGCCATTTCCTTCTCCGGCTCATTTTACAGATGAGGAAACTGAGGCAAACAGGGGTAAGTGACTTGCCGAGCGTCACACAGCTAGTAAGTATCTGAGGCTAGATTTGAACTCGAGTCTTACTGACTCCAGGCCCAACAATCTATCTACTGTGCCACCTAGCTGCCCTCTCGGTGTTTTCAGGAGCAGCATGTGCAGAGAAAGTCGAGATCTGCATTAGTGGAGGGAATTTGCTTATTCTGAGTTCCTAATACCAATGCAATCATACGTTTAGTTCCCCTCCCCCTTCCCTTCTCTCTGAGGGGGCATAATGAATTTCTGAAAAAGGGAAGAACGATTAAGTTGGTGTGCTGCATAAACTTAGCACCTACGAATACCTAGCAAGACATGACTCGGTGGCTAGAATTCTGTATCAGAAGTTCTCTCTCTTTCCTGGAGTGACAGATGACAAATTCTCACACTGGAAATACAGACCTCAAAATATCCTGCAGAATGCCACAAACTAAGCTGTCCTGGAATCTCTCACCATGATCACAGACTGAACCGTTACCTGCAATTTCCCAAACTCAACATTGACTCATAAAAACTGAAGAACAATATTTTAAATAGATGACACCATCTCAGAGACTCATGTTATGCAAGCTACGTGGAATGAGGAGCTTTGAAAATATAGTGACTTGTCCAAAGAGATCAAAATCATGAGAAAATAGGACAAGGTGTATATTATCTCTGCTGTCCTGTCTGCTCCTAGAGTTATGTCAGGAATGCTTTAAGTGAGCCTGCAGAGGATGAGTGTACACCCTAATACTTTTATTCAGTTATAAAAAGCAGTTATTTAAGGGGGAAGCTAGGTGGCGCAGTGGATAGGGCACCGGCCCTGAAGTCAGGAGGACCTGAGTTCAAATGTGACCTCAGACCGAACACTTGACACTTACTAGCTGTGTGACCCTGGGCAAGTCACTTAACCCTGATTGACTCAAACTCCCCCCCAAAAAAACCTTTACTATAAACCTCAACTATAATGCCAGGCACTGTGCTAAATGCTGGA